GTTAATTAGAAGGTGTATCTGCGAGCGGAGGGGAATGCTTGTTTCCGTGGCAACCGCAGTAGGGATGTGGGGTTGCGTCCCCGTTTCCGTGGCAACAACAGAGGGTTGATCAATGTGATTTCAAAACACAAACCACCACAGAAGAAGAAGAAGAAGGGCTAACAAGGGGTTTCTTCTCCTTCTTCTTCTTCTGCTGTTGTTGATCCGGCGGGACGTCTGTTTGTTTACTGATGATTGATCACAGGTGATGAGTCGACACTCACCTGTCGATACCCCCCCCCCCCAATATCTACACACACACACGCACTGTCCCTCAGGAGTCATGTAGCATTTGTTTGTGGTCTCTTAATTGTCGTCTTGTGTCCTCACTGACTCCCTGAGGTCCTTTAGTGTCCTCTGTTTGCATCTCTGTGGTTTTCATTCCTTTCCGCTGTCTTCTATCTATGCGTCGTCTAATGGTCGGTTTGCATTTCTTTGTGGTGATAATTCATTCATTTTAGTTTCTTTAAAATCACCATCCAATCTTTTGTTTTGTACAATTTGATCCCAACGTTTACAAAGTCAAACCCATTCACACACGTCACATACATTCAGCTAAATAACAACATGACTCCACTCAGTCTCACGCTGACGTCACGCCTCAATGTTCAAGTTTACATTTGTAATAAAGTCCCGTGCGGGCTTCCTTACATCTAAAGAAAGCCGTGTGAATACTCAGAAAGACCCTGACTGGGAGGCTGTGGCTCAGTGGATATTGTGCTGGACTTCGAATCATGGGGTAGCAAGTTCGAGTCCCACTGCAGTCATTACATTACATGACATGTTACTTGTTAGACGCTTTTATCCAAAGCGACTCACATACTCAATGCTGTGGACAATCCCCACAGGAGCACTTTGGGGTGAAGTGTCTCAGGGACACAACGACATGCTGACTGCAGTGGGACTCGAACTTGCTACCCCCTGATCAGAAGTCCAGCACACTACCCACTGAGCCACCCCACTGCAGTCAGCATGTCGTTGTGTCCCTGAGACACTTCACCCCAAACTGCTCCTGTGGGGATTGTCCACAGTATTGAGTATGTTAGTCGCTTTGGATAAAAGCGTCTAACAAGTAACATGTAATGTAATGACTGATAACTTAAAGGGGACCTATCATGCAAAATGCACTTGTGTACGTCTTTTCTACATGAATATGTGTCCCCGGTGTTCCAGGGAACTCACCAAGTGTCAGAAAACACAACCCTCTCTATTTTCCTCCATACCCAAATCTCTAAAAAAGGGGCTGCAACGGATCTGATAAAAACTGATCCAGATTTGAACACTGTCCTGACGTCAGGACGGTGGCGCTACGGCTATTGGGCCAACTCCACCAATCAGGAGGAGACAGCCACGGCCATTGCCGTTCGAAAGCGCTGGAGACGCTGTAGTACATATGCCAGGCCAGTAGGTGGTGCTGTTCTCACAGAATCTGCCCCTGCACAAACAGAGCTAGAAATTGTCAAATTGAGCAAAATGAGGCATGGCTAAAATGCATGATCTGTTTGGTATTTTGAAAAAAAAAAAGTATAAATATGCCTTTTATAGGTATGGCCCTACACTATATTATTCAAATATAGCATGATAGGTCCACTTTAAATATAAATACAGGTGTTTATATGTGAGGGCAGTACCAGCTTCTGTCCACCAGGGGCCCTCACACCTGCTCACCTGTCACAGTCACAGCTTGAGATGTGGATGTTTTCCAGTCCATCATCTAACGGGCTGATTAGAAACAGCCCACAAGGGGTCATTATTTCTGTCATGTTTCCTGACAGAGAAATCACTAAATGTCATTTTAAAAGACAGTATTTCTTTAATAGGTCATATTTTCCACCAAAAATAGGATGAAAATAACTGCATGAAAACATAAAACAGGATTTATACAAAATAACTTTAATATTTAATTATATTATTCCAATATAAAGGGATTTAAATGTTTAAATGAAGTCTAAATGCTCTCAGTGTTGAGGTGTGCATGTGAGCGCGGGGACGAGCACGTGTCGCTTCATTAATTCACCAAAACACCAGAGAGACGCTCGTGCACGCGATCCAGCGGCGCGGCACCTCCTCTCCTGTCTGCGTGCACGCGCGGGGCAAGAGCGCGCGTCAGGAGGATCCAAGGACGAGCTTCAGGTCATCCGAAAGTCCGCGAGCATCCTCCGACAGACAGACACCGAGCACCGGAGAGACAGACCGGGACCCGCGAGACCACCGGGACTCAGAGACTCAGAGACTCAAGAGACACCGAGCGGCGCGTGAGGGTCGGTGAGCGCGTGCAGAGGCGGTGAATCAACAGGACGAGATCAACAATGTCACCGGGGATTAATGCCGTTAACATGTGAGAGAAAAACAGCATCCCCCCCCTCAGAATCCGGTGAGGGAACTCAACATCGTGACCGGAGATTTCCCCGCAGTTTAACATCTGATTCATTCGTTCATTCATTACTAAAAAGCACCCTGAGAGCCGCGGGCTGAACCGGGAGGATGACCGGGATCTGAAGCTCAGAGGAGGATCAACAGGAGACTGAACACCGGGATCTGATCCGGTACCGGACCCAGAGAGGACAGTAAGTCACTTCATCACCTGACGACCACACACATTTTAACATTTATAATCAGTATAAAAACAGTTTGTTTGTTTTAAAGTGACATGTGACATTATTACATCTCACTGAAATAAACTCAAACCTCTTCTCTGCAGCTCTCTCAGACATGTCACCATCATATTCATTTATTTGGGAGGAAAGGCTCAACATGTCTGATTCACATAATTGATTAATTGATTCCTATAATCATCACCTGACCCCCCCCCCCCCCCCTTAGAGAGAGCAGCATGGTCACGTGTTTGTGTTTAAAGTATGCAGAACATCCATGAACCCGTTTTGAATGTAACCTTCTGCTGCCCTTTATGTGAAACACAAGATAACACATTCTGTTCGTCATCACAAGAAGATCAGAGACGTGAAAACAAACAACTCAACAAAGATTTAAGTGTGAAGCAGCCAATCAAAAACACTTCAAACGAACATTCCGAAGCACGTGATTGGTCCGCAGAAAACGTGGGAGTGTCTTAAAGAAACCACGAGTTCCATTAGGTCGGCCGACATCGAGCTGCTGTTCATATTTAAAGATATTCAGGATAATATGAGGTTTTGGAGCAGATCGTAATCACGGGGCGAACAACCGATCATTCCGACGTACGTGATTGGTCCACAGACACCTTGGGGCGTGGCCATTAGTTCTGCCGACTTCCAACTGTTGTAAATATGTAATGAGCAGGTTGTAACCCCGGGGCGATGCACATTTCATTTGACTTTCAATAGAACTGTGGAAACGGTATTTCTGCTGCGTTCAGGCGTTGTCGGAAAAATCATAAATCTTATTTTCTCACACGGAGAATTCACCTGAACGCCCTCATGCTCTGAGAGAACAACATGTTGCTCAGAAACACCTCAGAGGAAGAGAAACGATGCCCACCATCAGAAGAGCTCCTGAATGCACTTTCTAGTTGTGAGATTAGCTCGTATGAATATATACTTTAAATCCCATCATATCTAATGTTTTGATACTGACTGCTCATGAAAGTGAGACGCTTAAACCTTCAGGGTGTTTCAGTGTAACAGAGTGATGTCATCATCCCGAATAAAGGGAGTTATTCAATGTGATAAATCAACTTTAATACGTAACGGACAGATTATACAACCTGGAGCTCTGTGGATTTCTCAAGGAGAGACAAATGGTGTGTGCTGGAATATTTAACACAACATGGTTTAATAACGCTGCCATATTTCTGATCACGTACCTCGAGATGGCGCTGATATATTATAGGGTTACTAATTGGTGCTTTCCCAGAATCTTTAATATATAAATAATCATTAGTAGAGTGAATTTAATGACTTGAAGACTACACACACACACACACACACACACACACACACACACCACACACACACACACACACACACACACACACACACACACACACACACACACACACACACACAGAGTCGTGACAGACGGTCATCACGGGGGCTTCTCCTTTATTAGATATTGTGAAAAAAACAACACGTGTCACATTTATTAGATTAGATTAACGTCCCCACGGGGAGATTCATTTTCACAGCACTGTACATGGACACAGCATGCATACCATATATATAAACAACAACAACAACAGATAGCGACACATGGCAGAACACTCAGAGAAGCCTGTTGTTAATGTCTGCAGGAACCAAGCTGTTCCCAAAGAGAGCCGTGTGTGTGTGTGTGTGTGTGTGTGTGTGTGTGTGTGTGTGTGTGTGTGTGTGTGTGTGTGTGTGTGTGTGTGTGTGTGTGTGTGTGTGTGTGTGTGTGTGTGTGTGTGTGTGTGTGTGTGTGTGTGTGTGTGTGTGTGTGTGTGTGTGTGTGTGTGTGTGTGTGTGTGTGTGTGTGTGTGTGTGTGTGTGTGTGTGTGTGTGTGTGTGTGTGTGTGTGTGTGTGTGTGTGTGTGTGTGTGTGTGTGTGTGTGTGTGTGTGTGTGTGTGTGTGTGTGTGTGTGTGTGTGTGTGTGTGTGTGTGTGCAGCAGTGCATCATGAATATATATATAGGACATAGAATGTTTTGAGATGTGAAAGTAAATACATATAAAATAGAAATAGTGCACGGAGAGTCTATAGATGAATACCAGATGGATGTTCTCCACAGAGTTCAGGGGGTTAACAGTCTGATGGCCTGAGGGAGGAAACTGTCTCTGAGTCTGGGGGTTTCAGACCTGATGAGTTCACCAGAGTCCCGTTAGCTCAGCTGGTCATGTGACCTCAGCTGGTCATGTGACCTCAGCTGGTCATGTGACCTCAGCTGGTCATGACCTCTGTTCTGGAGCCAGGACGGTGTCGCTGAGCAAAGAGACCAGCGTCTGTGTGACCGTTATGATGCACCCTCCGGTACTCAGAGCGCAGTAACACACCCTGCCTCAGGACGCACTCGACACAGCAAGGAGTACGCGGACTGAGACGGTTCATTTAATGAACAACTCCTTGAGAAATACAAATGACCAGAATATTGATTTTCAAATGATTGTATTGATAGACATCCCTCTGATGCTAGTCATGTCTCCATTACCTCTTAACCTCTTCCCTTTTTGTATTTTCTTGTCCTGTTCTTCATCAATCCAGTCAAGCTTCCTGTTTTCCAAAGAAAAACTTTCCATGTTGTGTTTTGACTCCAATCCGCTGTACTCTGAGGTTACTGACAATCAGCTAATGTTAGCATGCTAAGATTCTAAAGTCGAGCATGATGTTAGACACCTGACCGTCACCTGACCGTCACCTGACCGTCACCTGACCGTCACCTGACCGTCACCTGACTCACTCTGGCAGCAGACATCGTTTTAATCCTTATTTTTCATTGATATTTTGCGATTCATTTCAGATTGTAATCCTTGTTGTTCCTTCTCCTCTTCCTTCCAGTGGAGCTGCACGGCCTCCTGCTGGCGCTGCTGCAGCTGCTCTCGGTGGCCAGGGGGGGCTGCGAGCCTCGACAGGTGAACCTGGGAGCCGTTCTGAGTCAGAAGAGATACGAGCAGGTGTTCAAAGAGGCTGTGAGCGCCGCCAACCTGCTGTACGGGAAGGACAAGTTCAGGATGAACGCCATCTCCGTCACTCACAAGCCCAACGCCATCCAGATGGCCCTGTCCGTGTGCGAAGACCTCATCTCCAACCAGGTGAGACTCACTCTGTCACATGACCTCATCTCCAACCAGGTGAGACTCACTCTGTCACATGACCTCATCTCCAACCAGGTGAGACTCAGACTGTCACATGACTGTCACATGACCTCATCTCCAACGCTGTCACCGAACGAAAGTCGTAACAGGAATACAATTTGTAATTTTCCAGGTGTACACATGGGCGTCGCAGCCATTATATGAGGGTGGGACAAATCCCCCCCACCTTTTCAAATGATTAGTTTAGACCCCCCACTTTTACCATGCACAAAGTCCGTGCATCGGTCTACCTGCTCGCCTCTCTCTGTAGAGCGCTGTGTCAGCGCTTCATTATCAAATCCATTCCACCTGCTGATTGAGAGAACGCCCAAATCAATGAAACTCCGTCCCATGTTTTCACTGCTACTTTGTACCAAGGCAGATTCTCAGAGCCGTGCACATGGGCCGTGCACATGAGCCGTGCACATGAGCCGTGCACATGAGCCGTGCACATGAGCCTGCGCCTGCGCCATGTGACTTCACCTGCACCATGTGACCTCACCTGCGCCATGTGACCTCACCTGCGCCATGTGACCTCACCTGCACCATGTGACTTCACCTGCACCATGTGACCTCACCTGCACCATGTGACCTCACCTGCACCATGTGACCTCACCTGCACAATGTGACCTCACCTTTACCATGTGACCTCACCTGCACCATGTGACCTCACCTTTACCATGTGACCTCACCTGCATCATGTGATCTCACCTGCACCATGTGACCTCACCTGCACCATGTGACCTCACCTGCACCATGTGACCTCACCTGCACCATGTGACCTCACCTGCACAATGTGACCTCACCTTTACCATGTGACCTCACCTGCACCATGTGACCTCACCTTTACCATGTGACCTCACCTGCATCATGTGATCTCACCTGCACCATGTGACCTCACCTGCACCATGTGACCTCACCTTTACCATGTGACCTCACCTTTACCATGTGACCTCACCTGCATCATGTGACCTCACCTGCACCATGTGACCTCACCTTTACCATGTGACCTCACCTGCACCATGTGACCTCACCTGCATCATGTGACCTCACCTGCACCATGTGACCTCACCTGCATCATGTGACCTCACCTGCATCATGTGACCTCACCTGCACCATGTGACCTCACCTGCACCATGTGACCTCACCTGCATCATGTGACCTCACCTTTACCATGTGACCTCACCTGCACCATGTGACCTCACCTGCACCATGTGACCTCACCTGCACCATGTGACCTCACCTGCATCATGTGACCTCACCTGCATCATGTGACCTCACCTGCACCATGTGACCTCACCTGCACCATGTGACCTCACCTGCACCATGTGACCTCACCTTTACCATGTGACCTCACCTGCACCATGTGACCTCACCTGCATCATGTGACCTCACCTGCACCATGTGACCTCACCTGCATCATGTGACCTCACCTGCATCATGTGACCTCACCTGCACCATGTGACCTCACCTGCACCATGTGTTGCCTTTATATCACATAAAAACACAGCAAATCAATGATAATTAGATATAAATAATTGATAATACATAACAATAATGACTATAATGTTTTTACATTGTTATTCCCAATGAATAAAAAACACACCAAGTTTTCTGGTTTAAATAATTGAACAATAAACTGAAGTGGGAACATTAAAGCGTGAATCTTTATTTAATTAAAGCAGAAACAGAGAAATGAGGTCAACATGGCGTCCATTCAGATTACAATCCTCTCAGAGACAGAGATGTAATCCGTCCGTCCCTGAAGAGAGATGGATGGAACACACACACACACACGCACACACACACGCACACACGCACACACGCACACACGCACACACGCACACACACACACACGCACACACGCACACACGCACACACACACACACGCACACACGCACACACACACAGCTGCTTCTCCTTATGTGTGTTGTGTATAAATCATTTCTCTGACTCTCTCTCTGAAACGTTGGTGTTATAAATGTTTAATTTCTCGGTCAGGTTCCCCAGATGGAAAACAATACGAGTTCAAGCGCTCTTGATACTCTCTATACCACGATGACAACAAACCCAATAAATAACATCCTCTCATATTTGGTCTTTAAATATGGATATACCAGGTTGTCAGGACACTAGAGATGCAGTATTTGATACTACTGAATACTATTTACATTTCTGGATTCTTGAAACCAATTTTATAAAACTCAAAACAATAAACAGGAGAGGACTCTTTAAAGTAGAGACACTACATACTGATATACACCTGAACATCAGCAGGAGAGGACTCTTTAAAGTAGAGACACTACATACTGATATACACCTGAACATCAGCAGGAGAGGACTCTTTAAAGTAGAGACACTACATACTGATATACACCTGAACATCAGCAGGAGAGGACTCTTTAAAGTAGAGACACTACATACTGATATACACCTGAACATCAGCAGGAGAGGACTCTTTAAAGTAGAGACACTACATACTGATATACACCTGAACATCAGCAGGAGAGGACTCTTTAAAGTAGAGACCCTACATACTGATATACACCTGAACATCAGCAGGAGAGGACTCTTTAAAGTAGAGACACTACATACTGATATACACCTGAACATCAGCAGGAGAGGACTCTTTAAAGTAGAGACACTACATACTGATATACACCTGAACATCAGCAGGAGAGGACTCTTTAAAGTAGAGACACTACATACTGATATACACCTGAACATCAGCAGGAGAGGACTCTTTAAAGTAGAGACACTACATACTGATATACAACTGAACATCAGCAGGAGAGGACTCTTTAAAGTAGAGACACTACATACTGATATACACCTGAACATCAGCAGGAGAGGACTCTTTAAAGTAGACACACTACATACTGATATACACCTGAACATCAGCAGGAGAGGACTCTTTAAAGTAGAGACACTACATACTGATATACACCTGAACATAAGCAGGAGAGGACTCTTTAAAGTAGAGACACTACATACTGATATACACCTGAACATCAGCAGGAGAGGACTCTTTAAAGTAGAGACACTACATACTGATATACACCTGAACATCAGCAGGAGAGGACTCTTTAAAGTAGAGACACTACATACTGATATACACCTGAACATCAGCAGGAGAGGACTCTTTAAAGTAGAGACACTACATACTGATATACACCTGAACATCAGCAGGAGAGGACTCTTTAAAGTAGAGACACTACATACTGATATACACCTGAACATCAGCAGGAGAGGACTCTTTAAAGTAGAGACACTACATACTGATATACACCTGAACATCAGCAGGAGAGGACTCTTTAAAGTAGAGACACTACATACTGATATACAACTGAACATCAGCAGGAGAGGACTCTTTAAAGTAGAGACACTACATACTGATATACACCTGAACATCAGCAGGAGAGGACTCTTTAAAGTAGACACACTACATACTGATATACACCTGAACATCAGCAGGAGAGGACTCTTTAAAGTAGAGACACTACATACTGATATACACCTGAACATCAGCAGGAGAGGACTCTTTAAAGTAGAGACACTACATACTGATATACACCTGAACATCAGCAGGAGAGGACTCTTTAAAGTAGAGACACTACATACTGATATACACCTGAACATCAGCAGGAGAGGACTCTTTAAAGTAGAGACACTACATACTGATATACACCTGAACATCAGCAGGAGAGGACTCTTTAAAGTAGAGACACTACATACTGATATACACCTGAACATCAGCAGGAGAGGACTCTTTAAAGTAGAGACACTACATACTGATATACACCTGAACATCAGCAGGAGAGGACTCTTTAAAGTAGAGACACTACATACTGATATACACCTGAACATCAGCAGGAGAGGACTCTTTAAAGTAGAGACACTACATACTGATATACACCTGAACATCAGCAGGAGAGGACTCTTTAAAGTAGAGACACTACATACTGATATACACCTGAACATCAACAGGAGAGGACTCTTTAAAGTAGAGACACTACATACTGATATACACCTGAACATCAGCAGGAGAGGACTCTTTAAAGTAGAGACACTACATACTGATATACACCTGAACATCAGCAGGAGAGGACTCTTTAAAGTAGAGACACTACATACTGATATACACCTGAACATCAGCAGGAGAGGACTCTTTAAAGTAGAGACACTACATACTGATATACACCTGAACATCAGCAGGAGAGGACTCTTTAAAGTAGAGACACTACATACTGATATACACCTGAACATCAGCAGGAGAGGACTCTTTAAAGTAGAGACACTACATACTGATATACACCTGAACATCAGCAGGAGAGGACTCTTTAAAGTAGAGACACTACATACTGATATACACCTGAACATCAGCAGGAGAGGACTCTTTAAAGTAGAGACCCTACATACTGATATACACCTGAACATCAGCAGGAGAGGACTCTTTAAAGTAGAGACACTACATACTGATATACACCTGAACATCAGCAGGAGAGGACTCTTTAAAGTAGAGACACTACATACTGATATACACCTGAACATCAGCAGGAGAGGACTCTTTAAAGTAGAGACACTACATACTGATATACACCTGAACATCAGCAGGAGAGGACTCTTTAAAGTAGAGACACTACATACTGATATACAACTGAACATCAGCAGGAGAGGACTCTTTAAAGTAGAGACACTACATACTGATATACACCTGAACATCAGCAGGAGAGGACTCTTTAAAGTAGACACACTACATACTGATATACACCTGAACATCAGCAGGAGAGGACTCTTTAAAGTAGAGACACTACATACTGATATACACCTGAACATAAGCAGGAGAGGACTCTTTAAAGTAGAGACACTACATACTGATATACACCTGAACATCAGCAGGAGAGGACTCTTTAAAGTAGAGACACTACATACTGATATACACCTGAACATCAGCAGGAGAGGACTCTTTAAAGTAGAGACACTACATACTGATATACACCTGAACATCAGCAGGAGAGGACTCTTTAAAGTAGAGACACTACATACTGATATACACCTGAACATCAGCAGGAGAGGACTCTTTAAAGTAGAGACACTACATACTGATATACACCTGAACATCAGCAGGAGAGGACTCTTTAAAGTAGAGACACTACATACTGATATACACCTGAACATCAGCAGGAGAGGACTCTTTAAAGTAGAGACACTACATACTGATATACACCTGAACATCAGCAGGAGAGGACTCTTTAAAGTAGAGACACTACATACTGATATACACCTGAACATCAGCAGGAGAGGACTCTTTAAAGTAGAGACACTACATACTGATATACACCTGAACATCAGCAGGAGAGGACTCTTTAAAGTAGAGACACTACATACTGATATACACCTGAACATCAACAGGAGAGGACTCTTTAAAGTAGAGACACTACATACTGATATACACCTGAACATCAGCAGGAGAGGACTCTTTAAAGTAGAGACACTACATACTGATATACACCTGAACATCAGCAGGAGAGGACTCTTTAAAGTAGAGACACTACATACTGATATACACCTGAACATCAGCAGGAGAGGACTCTTTAAAGTAGAGACACTACATACTGATATACACCTGAACATCAGCAGGAGAGGACTCTTTAAAGTAGAGACACTACATACTGATATACACCTGAACATCAGCAGGAGAGGACTCTTTAAAGTAGAGACACTACATACTGATATACACCTGAACATCAGCAGGAGAGGACTCTTTAAAGTAGAGACACTACATACTGATATACACCTGAACATCAACAGGAGAGGACTCTTTAAAGTAGAGACACTACATACTGATATACACCTGAACATCAGCAGGAGAGGACTCTTTAAAGTAGAGACACTACATACTGATATACACCTGAACATCAGCAGGAGAGGACTCTTTAAAGTAGAGACACTACATACTGATATACACCTGAACATCAGCAGGAGAGGACTCTTTAAAGTAGAGACACTACATACTGATATACACCTGAACATCAGCAGGAGAGGACTCTTTAAAGTAGAGACACTACATACTGATATACACCTGAACATCAGCAGGAGAGGACTCTTTAAAGTAGAGACACTACATACTGATATACAACTGAACATCAGCAGGAGAGGACTCTTTAAAGTAGAGACACTACATACTGATATACACCTGAACATCAGCAGGAGAGGACTCTTTAAAGTAGACACACTACATACTGATATACACCTGAACATCAGCAGGAGAGGACTCTTTAAAGTAGAGACACTACATACTGATATACACCTGAACATAAGCAGGAGAGGACTCTTTAAAGTAGAGACACTACATACTGATATACACCTGAACATCAGCAGGAGAGGACTCTTTAAAGTAGAGACACTACATACTGATATACACCTGAACATCAGCAGGAGAGGACTCTTTAAAGTAGAGACACTACATACTGATATACACCTGAACATCAGCAGGAGAGGACTCTTTAAAGTAGAGACACTACATACTGATATACACCTGAACATCAGCAGGAGAGGACTCTTTAAAGTAGAGACACTACATACTGATATACACCTGAACATCAGCAGGAGAGGACTCTTTAAAGTAGAGACACTACATACTGATATACACCTGAACATCAGCAGGAGAGGACTCTTTAAAGTAGAGACACTACATACTGATATACACCTGAACATCAGCAGGAGAGGACTCTTTAAAGTAGAGACACTACATACTGATATACACCTGAACATCAGCAGGAGAGGACTCTTTAAAGTAGAGACACTACATACTGATATACACCTGAACATCAGCAGGAGAGGACTCTTTAAAGTAGAGACACTACATACTTATATACACCTGAACATCAGCAGGAGAGGACTCTTTAAAGTAGAGACACTACATACTGATATACACCTGAACATCAACAGGAGAGGACTCTTTAAAGTAGAGACACTACATACTGATATACACCTGAACATCAGCAGGAGAGGACTCTTTAAAGTAGAGACACTACATACTGATATACACCTGAACATCAGCAGGAGAGGACTCTTTAAAGTAGAGACACTACATACTGATATACACCTGAACATCAGCAGGAGAGGACTCTTTAAAGTAGAGACACTACATACTGATATACACCTGAACATCAGCAGGAGAGGACTCTTTAAAGTAGAGACACTACATACTGATATACACCTGAACATCAGCAGGAGAGGACTCTTTAAAGTAGAGACACTACATACTGATATACACCTGAACATCAGCAGGAGAGGACTCTTTAAAGTAGAGACACTACATACTGATATACACCTGAACATCAACAGGAGAGGACTCTTTAAAGTAGAGACACTACATACTGATATACACCTGAACATCAGCAGGAGAGGACTCTTTAAAGTAGAGACACTACATACTGATATACACCTGAACATCAGCAGGAGAGGACTCTTTAAAGTAGAGACACTACATACTGATATACACCTGAACATCAGCAGGAGAGGACTCTTTAAAGTAGAGACACTACATACTGATATACACCTGAACATCAACAGGAGAGGACTCTTTAAAGTAGAGACACTACATACTGATATACACCTGAACATCAGCAGGAGAGGACTCTTTAAAGTAGAGACACTACATACTGATATACACCTGAACATCAGCAGGAGAGGACTCTTTAAAGTAGAGACACTACATACTGATATACACCTGAACATCAGCAGGAGAGGACTCTTTAAAGTAGAGGAGTCTGATGAAATGTCTTCTTCTTCTGCAGGTGTATGCTATCCTGGTCTCTCACCCCCCTCAGTCTAACGACCACCTGACTCCCACTCCGGTCTCCTACACTGCCGGGTTCTACCGGATCCCGGTGGTCGGCCTCACCACCCGGATGTCCATCTACTCCGACAAGGTAACCAGATCTGAGTCTCACCTTTGTGCTGTCTTCAATTGTTGCGTGTAAATACTTTGAGGTAGAGTAGCTGAAAATAATCCAGGAAGCTTCTCGTCAGGTAAACAGCATTTATTAATAAAGTGATACAATAAGTTTGCAGAAGTACTCGGCCGAGGTGTTTTGTACTTCATTGTTACACAGTCCACTTAGCGCAGTTAGCTGTGTCTCAAATCTGTACGACGAAAAAAGGGCCGTTTCTCTATTAAACATCTGGTTATATACGTTCATTCTCGTATTTAGTCTTTGTTAGAAAACTCTCCCTGGTCCCCGGCTTGAGCTTCAATCTCAGGATCCATGTATTTATGATCCTCTCAAGAATGGAAGTAGTCATCACATACAGAGCATCAACTAGTTCCTGAACAGTGTCCTTTCCTGTTCAAAATACTGAGTGTTTTCTCAAAATGTTGGCTTTTTTTCTGAAAATCTCACTTTATGCTCACACTTTAAAATCGCAAAATTCTGACTTTTTCTCAAAATTCTGACTTTTTCTCAAAATCTCAAAATTCGGACTTTTTCTCAAAATCTCAAGATTCTGACTTTTTCACAAAATTCAGACTTTTTCTAAAAATCACAAAATTCAGACTTTTTCTAAAAATCACAAAATTCAGACTTTTTCTAAAAATCACAAAATTCAACACCACACTGACGGTCAGTTCGCACAGAACAAATATTTCTCGTCAGTTTTATTTGTATATAAACCATAAAAAAAATATATTTCTCAGCCTGTCAGTTCTGCCTCATATTTTGTCTTTAGATATTGATATACTAGGTTGTCAGGATACTAGAAATGTAGTATTTGACACCGCCAAATACCATTCAATTCAAGGATTCCTGAAACCAATTAAATACCCAGAACAAATCTAAAAATCTATCCCATGTCCCAACATACTCTCCTTTTATCACGGTACGTTTAGTAGTTTCTGTCAGGAAGAAAGACACCAGTACACATCCTTTACTCAAGTAGAAGTACAGATACTCGTGTTTAAAAATACTCTGGTAAAAGTAGAAGTACTGACTAAACTTCTTTACTCAAGTCAAAGTAAAGAAGTATGGGCTTTGAAATGTACTTAAGTAAAAAGTACCCATAACTTTGTGTCCTTAGGCGCTTTCACACCGGAGCACTTTTCCCAGGAATAGTTCCGATAGTTCCTGGGATTTAGCGTTCACACCAAAAAGATCTGGAACTAGAACTTGTTTTCTGGAACCTTTTCCCCCCTTTTCAGTCCCTGCTAGAGAGCAGGTACTTTCCTGGGAGAATCAAATCAAATCAAATCAAATCAAATCAAGTTTTATTTATATAGCACATTTTTAAACGATTTTTGGTCGAGCCAAAGTGCTGTACATATAATAAAGATACCCTACAGTAAAGACACTTTACAGCAAATACAACAGCACAGTTTGTTCAGAATATCAGTATGAGAAAACGACCACAGGGAGAAAAAGGTTCCCAGTTCTGATTGGCTGGGCGAATTGCAAAACACGCCCCGTAAAACTCCCAAAAGTTTTGTGAAGCCGCCATTGTATTTGCTGGCATTAGCATTATTAGCATTAGCATTAGCCCAGCGCACCAACGGAGAGAGACTAACTTATGGCAACACAAAAGAAAACATGGGAGCGGTGGAGATGAGGAGGTGTCGGGCGTTCTGGCGATTCTGGGAGTCCCAGCAGCTTCTACTGAAGCCAGTCCCCAACTCCAGGGACTTCCGGCCGGGGACTCCGGGTGGCAGTATACGCCGTGAAGTTGTTTGCGGCCTGCCAGTAAACCCAAAGCAGAAGAAGAAGAAGTGACGTCAGCGGCTCATTTGCCTAATCCTCCCTCAGGGACTTATTCCGGTGTGAACGCGATTTACTAGATAGTTCCGCGAACTAAAGAGTTCCGATGAACTAAGTACGGCAAAGTACTTGGTGTGAAAGCGCCTCTTGAGCAAGACATTTCACCCTCATTTTCTGTATTCACTGTTCCATGTCTGATATGTGTAATATGTGATGTAAAGCGCTTAAAAAGTGCTCTAATAAATGTTATGAAACACAGATTAAAATAAAGTAACGAGCCGTTTTGAAAGAAGTAGAAAGTACAGGTATTTGGGTTCAACATGTAAGAAGTAGAAAGTACAGGTATTAGTGTTCAACATGTAAGAAGTAGAAAGTACAGGTATTTGTGTTCAACATGTGAGAAGTAGAAAGTACAGGTATTAGTGTTCAACATGTAAGAAGTAGAAAGTACAGGTATTTGTGTTCTAAATGTAAGAAGTAGAAAGTACAGGTATTTGTGTTCAACATGTAAGAAGTAGAAAGTACAGGTATTTGGGTTCAACATGTAAGAAGTAGAAAGTACAGGTATTTGGGTTCAACATGTAAGAAGTAGAAAGTACAGGTATTTGTGTTCAACATGTAAGAAGTAGAAAGTACAGGTATTTGTGTTCTAAATGTAAGAAGTAGAAAGTACAGGTATTTGTGTTCAACATGTAAGAAGTAGAAAGTACAGGTATTTGGGTTTAACATGTGAGAAGTAGAAAGTACAGGTATTTGGGTTCAACATGTAAGAAGTAGAAAGTACAGGTATTTGGGTTTAACATGTGAGAAGTAGAAAGTACAGGTATTTGGGTTCAACATGTAAGAAGTAGAAAGTACAGGTATTTGTGTTCAACATGTAAGAAGTAGAAAGTACAGGTATTTGTGTTCTAAATGTAAGAAGTAGAAAGTACAGGTATTTGTGTTCAACATGTAAGAAGTAGAAAGTACAGGTATTTGGGTTTAACATGTGAGAAGTAGAAAGTACAGGTATTTGGGTTCAACATGTAAGAAGTAGAAAGTACAGGTATTTGTGTTCAACATGTAAGAAGTAGAAAGTACAGGTATTTGGGTTCAACATGTAAGAAGTAGAAAGTACAGGTATTTGTGTTCAACATGTAAGAAGTAGAAAGTACAGGTATTTGGGTTCAACATGTAAGAAGTAGAAAGTACAGGTATTTGGGTTCAACATGTAAGAAGTAGAAAGTACAGGTATTTGGGTTTAACATGTGAGAAGTAGAAAGTACAGGTATTTGGGTTCAACATGTAAGAAGTAGAAAGTACAGGTATTTGTGTTCAACATGTAAGAAGTAGAAAGTACAGGTATTTGGGTTCAACATGTAAGAAGTAGAAAGTACAGGTATTTGTGTTCAACATGTAAGAAGTAGAAAGTACAGGTATTTGGGTTCAACATGTAAGAAGTAGAAAGTACAGGTATTTGTGTTCAACATGTAAGAAGTAGAAAGTACAGGTATTTGTGTTCAACATGTAAGAATTAAAAGTCGTAAAGTAAAGAGTAAAGTACTGATACCAGAACAATGTACTTAAGTACAGTAACCCAGTATTTGTACTCCTCTACTTCCCAGCTCTGAAAGACACCATCATTCCCTCTGATATCTGTTTTATATCGCTGTGATTTATTTAATCACTCTCTGTTATGAGTGGTCAGACAAATCAACGCGCATCCACATTAATGATCAGATATCGCCGTTTATTTAAAGAAAAACAGACATAATTCCCTCTGATATCTGTTCTATGTTCCCTCCTCAGAGCATCCACCTGTCCTTCCTCCGCACCGTGCCTCCCTTCTCCCACCAGGCTCAGGTGTGGTTCGACCTGATGAGGGAGTTCAGGTGGAATCACATCATCCTCATCGTGAGCGACGACCACGAGGGCCGCGCCGCTCAGAAGAGACTGGAGACACTGCTGGAGGAGCGCGAGACCAAGGTGAGACACACACACACACACACACACACTCACACTCACACTCACACTCACACTCACACTCTCTCTCTCTCCATCATGTCATCAGTTCACACCTCCATCTTCACTCTGCAGTTTCACTTCTATAAATGTTCGTGTCTTTAAAATGTGGAGCCACAAACTACAGGACGAGCAGCGAAGTTTTGCACAATTTCTTCCCCTAAAAATTCCCAGAGGTTGTCACGTGTGTTAATCGTATGATAGAAGAATTATAATTGGGAGGGATGAAACCCTCTGTAATGGTCACACATGCAGAGCACACAGCACACACAGTGAAATGTGTTCTCTGCTTTTAACCCACCCTAGTACCAGGAGTCTAGCACCAGGAGTCTAGTACCAGGAGTCTAGCACCAGGAGTCTAGCACCAGGAGTCTAGTACCAGGAGTCTAGTACCAGGAGTCTAGCACCAGGAGTCTAGCACTAGGAGTCTAGTACCAGGAGTCTAGCACCAGGAGTCTAGCACCAGGAGTCTAGTACCAGGAGTCTAGTACCAGGAGTCTAGCACCAGGAGTCTAGCACTAGGAGTCTAGTACCAGGAGTCTAGCACCAGGAGTCTAGCACCAGGAGTCTAGCACTAGGAGTCTAGTACCAGGAGTCTAGCACTAGGAGTCTAGCACTAGGAGTCTAGCACCAGGAGTCTAGCACCAGGAGTCTAGCACCAGGAGTCTAGCACCAGGAGTCTAGTACCAGGAGTCTAGCACCAGGAGTCTAGTACCAGGAGTCTAGTACCAGGAGTCTAGCACCAGGAGTCTAGCACCAGGAGTCTAGCACCAGGAGTCTAGCACCAGGAGTCTAGTACCAGGAGTCTAGCTCCAGGAGTCTAGCTCCAGGAGTCTAGCACCAGGAGTCTAGCTCCAGGAGTCTAGCACCAGGAGTCTAGCACCAGGAGTCTAGCACCAGGAGTCTAGCACCAATAGTCTAGCACCAGGAGTCTAGCACCAGGAGTCTAGTACCAGGAGTCTAGCACCAGGAGTCTAGCACCAATAGTCTAGCACCAGGAGTCTAGCACCAGGAGTCTAGTACCAGGAGTCTAGCACCAGGAGTCTAGCACCAGGAGTCTAGCACCAGGAGTCTAGCACCAGGAGTCTAGCACCAATAGTCTAGCACCTGGAGTCTAGCACCAGGAGTCTAGTACCAGGAGTCTAGTACCAGGAGTCTAGCACCAGGAGTCTAGCACCAGGAGTCTAGCACCAGGAGTCTAGCTCCAGGAGTCTAGCACCAGGAGTCTAGCACCAGGAGTCTAGTACCAGGAGTCTAGCTCCAGGAGTCTAGCTCCAGGAGTCTAGCTCCAGGAGTCTAGCACTAGGAGTCTAGCACCAGGAGTCTAGTACCAGGAGTCTAGCTCCAGGAGTCTAGCACCAGGAGTCTAGTACCAGGAGTCTAGCACCAGGAGTCTAGCACCAGGAGTCTAGCACCAGGAGTCTAGTACCAGGAGTCTAGCTCCAGGAGTCTAGCTCCAGGAGTCTAGCACCAGGAGTCTAGCACCAGGAGTCTAGCACCAGGAGTCTAGTACCAGGAGTCTAGCTCCAGGAGTCTAGCACTAGGAGTCTAGCACCAGGAGTCTAGTACCAGGAGTCTAGCTCCAGGAGTCTAGCACCAGGAGTCTAGCACCAGGAGTCTAGTACCAGGAGTCTAGCTCCAGGAGTCTAGCTCCAGGAGTCTAGCACCAGGAGTCTAGCACCAGGAGTCTAGTACCAGGAGTCTAGCTCCAGGAGTCTAGCTCCAGGAGTCTAGTACCAGGAGTCTAGTACTAGGAGTCTAGCACCAGGAGTCTAGTTCCAGGAGTCTAGTACCAGGAGTCTAGCACCAGGAGTCTAGTACCAGGAGTCTAGCACCAGGAGTCTAGCACCAGGAGTCTAGCACCAGGAGTCTAGTACCAGGAGTCTAGCACCAGGAGTCTAGCACCAGGAGTCTAGCACCAGGAGTCTAGCACCAGGAGTCTAGCACCAGGAGTCTAGTACCAGGAGTCTAGCTCCAGGAGTCTAGCACTAGGAGTCTAGCACCAGGAGTCTAGTACCAGGAGTCTAGCTCCAGGAGTCTAGCACCAGGAGTCTAGCACCAGGAGTCTAGTACCAGGAGTCTAGCTCCAGGAGTCTAGCTCCAGGAGTCTAGCACCAGGAGTCTAGCACCAGGAGTCTAGTACCAGGAGTCTAGCTCCAGGAGTCTAGCTCCAGGAGTCTAGTACCAGGAGTCTAGTACTAGGAGTCTAGCACCAGGAGTCTAGTTCCAGGAGTCTAGTACCAGGAGTCTAGCACCAGGAGTCTAGTACCAGGAGTCTAGCACCAGGAGTCTAGCACCAGGAGTCTAGCACCAGGAGTCTAGTACCAGGAGTCTAGCACCAGGAGTCTAGCACCAGGAGTCTAGCACCAGGAGTCTAGCACCAGGAGTCTAGTACCAGGAGTCTAGCACCAGGAGTCTAGTACCAGGAGTCTAGCACCAGGAGTCTAGCACCAGGAGTCTAGTACCAGGAGTCTAGTACCAGGAGTCTAGCACCAGGAGTCTAGCACCAGGAGTCTAGCACCAGGAGTCTAGCACCAGGAGTCTAGTACCAGGAGTCTAGCACCAGGAGTCTAGCACCAGGAGTCTAGCACCAGGAGTCTAGCACCAGGAGCAGCTATTGTACAGCGCCCGGGGAATAATCAGTGTATTCAGAGTTTTTAATGATTCATTTGATCTAACTTTGCAAATTGAATCGACAGATGGAAAATCAGGTGTGTTTAAGGTCTCCTATCATGCAAAATGCACTTTGATGTCTTCTCTACATCACCATGTGTCCCCGGTGTGTCCCCGGTGTGTCCCCGGTGTGTCCCCGGTGTGTCCCCTGTGTGTCCCCGGTGTGTCCCCGGTGTGTCCCCGGTGTGTCCCCGGTGTGTCCCCGGTGTGTCCCCGGTGTGTCAGGAGACTCTCAAAGCATCAGGAAATAAACCCCTCTCTCTTTTCCTCCGTACCCACATCTCTAAAAACGGGGAACAACGGAGCTGATCCAGATTTGCTGCGTCATGACCACATTACTCAAATGTGGGCGGGCTTTAGACCCACGGGCCAATCAGAAACGTTGCTGTCAGAAACAATGAGACGTGTTCTGGAAGTAATATGGTCTGTGTTCACATTAGCATGCTAACACTCAGAGCTAACCTGTACTGGAGAGAGCATGTGTGAAGAAGCAGGAAATCAAAAGGAAGTCACCTTGTGGTAAACCTGAGAGAGAAAGAGAGTTTGAGCTCCATACTGTTTCAGAGAGAATCCTTCATGTGGTTTGGAACATGATATGGAGTTTAGTCACGGCAGCATTTAGCTGAGTTTCTGCTGGGAGAGTTCTCCTGATGAGATCTACTCTCTCTCTGAAGCTACTGACCCAGAGTCAGCTCTTTAGTAACAGCTGGGAGAGAGGGTGGGGGGGTGGGGGGCTACAAGGATCTTTTTGGGGTTTGGAGCAGGACACTTCAGAGACATGTCCTTAGTAACAGCTGGAAGAGAGAGGGGGGGGGGCTACAAGGATCTGTTTGGGGTTTGGAGCAGGACACTTCAGAGACATGTCCTTAGTAACAGCTGGAAGAGAGAGGGGGGGGCTACAAGGATCTGTTTGGGGTTTGGAGCAGGACACTTCAGAGACATGTCCTTAGTAACAGCTGGAAGAGAGGGGGGGGGGGCTACAAGGATCTGTTTGGGGTTTGGAGCAGGACACTTCAGAGACATGTCCTTAGTAACAGCTGGAAGAGAGGGGGGGGGGCTACAAGGATCTGTTTGGGGTTTGGAGCAGGACACTTCAGAGACATGTCCTTAGTAACAGCTGGAAGAGAGGGGGGGGGGGGCTACAAGGATCTGTTTGGGGTTTGGAGCAGGACACTTCAGAGACATGTCCTTAGTAACAGCTGGAAGAGAGGGGGGGGGGGGCTACAAGGATCTGTTTGGGGTTTGGATCAGGACACTTCAGAGACATGTCCTTAGTAACAGCTGGAAGAGAGGGGGGGGGCTACAAGGATCTGTTTGGGGTTTGGAGCAGGACACTTCAGAGACATGTCCTTAGTAACAGCTGGAAGAGAGAGGGGGGGGGGCTACAAGGATCTGTTTGGGGTTTGGAGCAGGACACTTCAGAGACATGTCCTTAGTAACAGCTGGAAGAGAGAGGGGGGGGGGCTACAAGGATCTGTTTGGGGTTTGGAGCAGGACACTTCAGAGACATGTCCTTAGTAACAGCTGGAAGAGAGAGGGGGGGGGCTACAAGGATCTGTTTGGGGTTTGGAGCAGGACACTTCAGAGACATGTCCTTAGTAACAGCTGGAAGAGAGGGGGGGGGGCTACAAGGATCTGTTTGGGGTTTGGAGCAGGACACTTCAGAGACATGTCCTTAGTAACAGCTGGAAGAGAGAGGGGGGGGCTACAAGGATCTGTTTGGGGTTTGGAGCAGGACACTTCAGAGACATGTCCTTAGTAACAGCTGGAAGAGAGAGGGGGGGGGGCTACAAGGATCTGTTTGGGGTTTGGAGCAGGACACTTCAGAGACATGTCCTTAGTAACAGCTGGAAGAGAGGGGGGGGGGGCTACAAGGATCTGTTTGGGGTCTGGAGCAGGACACTTCAGAGACATGTCCTTAGTAACAGCTGGAAGAGAGGGGGGGGGGCTACAAGGATCTGTTTGGGGTTTGGAGCAGGACACTTCAGAGACATGTCCTTAGTAACAGCTGGAAGAGAGGGGGGGGGGGCTACAAGGATCTGTTTGGGGTCTGGAGCAGGACACTTCAGAGACATGTCCTTAGTAACAGCTGGAAGAGAGGGGGGGGGGGGCTACAAGGATCTGTTTGGGGTTTGGAGCAGGACACTTCAGAGACATGTCCTTAGTAACAGCTGGAAGAGAGGGGGGGGGGCTACAAGGATCTGTTTGGGGTCTGGAGCAGGACACTTCAGAGACATGTCCTTAGTAACAGCTGGAAGAGAGAGGGGGGGGGGGCTACAAGGATCTGTTTG